CAAACTTGGACGCAGGAATTGCCTCATATTGAGGTTTCGCTCTCTCGAAAAAGGGAGCTTTTGGCAGGAAAGTTGACCCATCGGTAACCAATGTCGGCTCTCTTTTTGTGGAAAAGCTCATCCCTAAGGTGTAGTCTCTTTGGGACATATCAAAAAGATACCGGTCCAAGAGCCCATGTATCGACTTTTTGAACGCTCCCAGCAAAGATATACTTTTCCTTGGTTGTCTACGACGGCATATTTAACTGCTTCGAAAGCAACATTGTCGAAGGTTATTCCTGTTGTCCCCTTTCCTTTCTCCTGAGAAGCGGGGAACGTGAGGAGTGCTGTTTCCGTATTTCTAAAGATGGAGTCTAACACCAGAATAGAACCAGTTCGAGGGACAGAATCCTCAGACATAAGCTTAAAGCCCGTAGTGGATTCAGTGACTTCAATGTTTTTCCAAATCTAGAACCCGTCAGCCTCAACTGCTGCATGATCCCGCGAACAAAAATCATGGAATGGGGCATATTTCGGTGTATAAATCATGAACTTACCCATCCCCAATCCCAAATTATCTGTACGGCTGTTTTGCAATTGTTAAATTTGAGTCTCTGGGCCGTGAATTGTTGATTCCCACCATCTATACACGAGTTAGGATAGGTCAATATGAAAATTAAAAGATAGATGTTCAATGCTTACATATTCCGAAATTTCCACCAGTGAACGTTAAATCGCTAATGGCTCCACCGCTTCCATTCTCGGTGACTATCAGATGTAATTAGAATCGGACAAGAAAATATAGAATTGTACACACGGCCGCTTACAAATGGCCTGCTGGGTGGTGCCAGGATCCGTAGAAGCGATAAAGTCAACATTCATAAGGCTTGTGGCTTGAGCAACCTGATAATGGAGCGCAGCAACATATGCATCTCTGCTGGTGGCAGTAATATCAATTCTGAAATTCCGGATCTGGCGATAAAAGTTGCCCTTTTCACAGATTTATCAGCATATATGTAACTACAAAGTGTACCTTTGGTCGAATTGTTGCTTTACTTACCGTGGTAACATACCACTCCTTTGCATTGCCATCCGGGCCGGCACCCCCGTTTTCAACGTAACGATTTGTGGAAAGCACACCAAGGCCAATAAATGAACTGGCAGCTTTAATGACAGGGCGATCGTTTGCCTAGGTTTGCTAGAATTTACTAAGCCTAATCATGACAAATGATATTCATTACTCACGTTTCCAATTAGCTGGCTTCCGAAATAGACATCGATAGTCGAGCTGACAAGGTATGTGCCTTCACCTGTCATTAATAGATGTATATATATTAACAGTACGCCGGAACTTCAACTCACCGGATGGAAAATAAACGATAAAATTCTTAGCCGTAGCGCCATTGCATCTTTCACCACATGTTCCCGTGTCTGCAATTGCTCGTTTAATGGCCTCCGTATCATCCTATATAACATGATGAGAACTTGATCCACCGTCATAATCTAGGAACTTACATATACACCATCTCCAACTGCCCCGTAATTCTTCACATTTACGGAAAAA